GTAGCTTGGTTAAGGGTGAAAATGTAATTACAAATACATTTTATTTCAATTATACTAAACCATAAGGAGTATTTTGCAATAATTAAAAGAGTAGAAAAATCGATGGTCTCCGTTCTTGTGGTGAGCTTAGCCGTCGTTCTCCACGTCCGAACTCGGCATCTGTAAAATTTCTTCATTTCTTCATTTCTTCACCTCCGGAAATCCCAATCATGGCGTCCGATATGATCAATAACGAAGCAGATCATTTGGTGGAGCTTATCGTCCGGGATGAGTCTCCGTCAATCCCCGACGTGGTTTCGATCTTGGAGGAGGATGCTCCTCTATTGACCCAAATTGAAAAGCCCAAGATCAACATCTTCACCATCTCTTATCCTCGAAGGAAACCTTTGGTATAACTCACTTTGTTCACTTATTTTTTCGTTGTTTTAATCTGCTGTTCCTCTGTTGTTGCCGATTTTGGTTGCGGAGATGTGGAATCTCGATGTGTTTGCATTACGATTCTTCTATTTTTATCTTCTGCGTATATTCTATGTTTTTGTTTATTTTCTTTGTTCCTTGGATCGTATATGATAGTACGTTAGAGATTTGGAGTAGTGCTGGGTTCCTCTGAATGCAAGGAGATTGGATTTAGGTATCAAAGTTTAGCTGTTATTTTCTATTATTAACTTCGGTGTATAGAGTTCTGAGCATGCTTAAATTTTCTCTAGTTGTTTAAAGGTTTCTAAGAACTCATGCACCCCGCTTCAGTGGTTGCTTCATATGTCTTGGAACAAGTCATTGTTAATCGAAGTTTTTGCTCTAAAAAGGCCCCTCAAGTCAATTTGGTCCCTTTCCCCTCGCTCTTTTTTGTCATTTAATGGTTGCATTTCTTGGCAGTAATGAAATAACTCAAGCTGTTTAAATTGATTAAATATTGTGTCAATTATTGTTTCATATGCATTTTCAGGAGCAGGTGAATAAAATCCATGATAGCGAGGTATCTTCATTAACCCAATCAATTATTTGGATTTGGGGTGAATCAAGATACTCGGGTTTACTCTGTGCTTCTCTATCCTCCATCTTCTACTTCACCATGGAAATTCTGATGGGTTTTTTTTCTGGTTGGTAAAAGCTTTCTCCTGACTGAATTTTGAAATGTTTTTACATTACAATGAAACGTGGTGCTCAGTAAGAGAACTGTCATTTCCTGATCCTATAGACTTTTGTTTGCGTGTAGATTTTAGGCCTATTATTTTCTCTTTCTCGGTACACCTCTATCCTAACAAAGTTTCTTACCCCAGCCAATTAATAAATGATCTGTTTTCCGGCTTAGTTTTTAGTATTGTTATTATTATTCAAATTTTCACTCGTATTGGCAGCTCAACCTATACCAATTCTTGAAATGACTTTTACAAGATGCACGATTATTACATTACTATCGTATTTGTGGTTGAGGAGGAGCGAGCAACCAATATTTGGACTGACACATGTTAGGAAGCTTTTGATTTCTCGTGCCTTAGCAGGACTTCTCTCGATGATGAGTTTTATTTACAGGTACATGACGTTAGTCCTACATTTTTTATTGCAAATAATGCTCAATTACAGTGTAGATATTTTAAAAATGTTTTGAGTGAGAATTTGGTGTCTTTGTGATTAAGGGAAACATGGGTATAGTGAAATTACTTTACTTTCTTAGGATGCGAGACATCCTTGCTGTTGTGTGAATTGAAGTATTCTTTCCCTTAAGTTTCTGATTTAACGCCTTGATCATATGTTCTTGGTGTCTAGACATCCAAGTTGATCGTTTTCTTGCTAGTGTTCCTTAAAAAATGGATTGCATGCAACCAACATGAGCATAGCTCAATGATACTTAACATGTACTCCTTCCCCTGAGGTCGAAGGTTCAGAAAATGGATTGCATGCAGTCTCATTACATTATGTGAAATATTGCCCACAAGCAATACTCTCTGATCTAACATTACCTTACATCCCACAACTAATGGGGTTGTTTGGAATGTGGTTTCAATGAAATCTTCTCATATAATTACCATTACTATGCACCTTTCCAATCAAAATTTATTTGGAATTTTATCCATGAAATCTTTCTCCAGTTCCATCGGACAACCATCCAACATTGATTTGCTGCCTTCTGTTTTTTAGCTTTATCGAATATTAACAGCTCTTTGATTTGTTCTTCATTTCAGCATTCAAAGGTTGCCTTCGTCTCAGGCAGTTGTAATTAGCTTTACTACTCCCTTACTGGCTTCAGTTGTGGCAAGAATTATTCTGCAGGAAAAGTTAAAAATTTCTGACTTAGGCGGTATGGACTTGGACTTTCATTTTATACCCTCCCAAGAATGCAGCATGATGTGAAAAGATGTTGCACATTATTTAGTGTTGATCTTTCACTATATTTGAATTATTCCACTGAAGCAACCGATGAGATTGAAATTAACGTATAACATGATAATGACCCTAAGGTGTACCCTGATTGTAAAGGCGTAGGATGTTTGAAAATGCTTTTTTGAGTTGTGAGTTTAATCCTTAAAACTAAAAACTTTAAAACTCATGAAATCCTTGTTATCAGTTGGAACTAGACTTGGGGTAGACAAATATAGTGGCGGGTAGGTGGTGAGAATAAATATTCAACAGCTCAGTTATAAATAAAAATATTAACATATTAGTCTCTCTTTCTCTCTACACACCCATGTTTGTCTGAACGTTTATGATTGGATCTTTGTTGTTTTCTTTTCATATTATTTTCATATATTGGCGACGCTTGCTAATCTATTTGGTTTCTTCTTTTTAGTTTAGTATTAAACTCTTGTATGCATTTTGTGAAGGCAAGAAGTGAGTACTTTCTGATTACCCTCCCATTTCAGGTCTTGCTTGCAGTTTTTTTGGTGTTCTACTAATTTGCCAAGACCTATTTACTAGTCAAGGTACCGAAGTGAGTTAACTTACCCTCGATTTTTTTTCCATGTTGGTTCTATGCTATATAGTTCTTTCCTTCTAGAAAGCTATTAGAGGTTCTGTGCTCACACACCAATAGGATCTCGGTGGATATTTTGAATGTCTTCACGGTGGATATTAGAAGTTCAAGCAGCTCAACACGGTGGATATTTTGAATGTCTGTTCAAGAAACTAGTGGCTAATGCCATTAGTTATGTTCGTATATTTCCTTCATATTGAATCTTCATTTGTTTCATGTTACTTGAAAACATGCAATCTCGTGCAGCTATTACTTATCTTTGTTCTTATTTTGATTTTTCCCATCTGAAATCTCTTCCACAAGGCAGGTAAATATTCATCAAAACTTGCGGTTGCCTTTTGCTTGTTGAGCCATGTTGTAAAGGATCGAGTTCTTGTTTCTCTTACTCCACAATTGTTGCATTACCTTATTTGAAGGGTTAACTAATGCTGGGAAGGGAAGCAGAACACCGCCCCTGCGAAGTCACCATGCATATGCAGTATTAATTGGTTTTGTTGGATCTATAGCTGGTGGAATTAGTCACTGCCTTATTAGAGCCAGTGCAAAAGCATCTGATCAACCAATGTAAGTTTATTTACTTTCCTTCTGTATAGGTAATATAGAAAGAAAAAAAAAAAAAAAAAGGCTCAGTATATATGCAATTTTTCTTCCTTCTTAAGAACCTTTATCATTTTTAGTTTACAAACTTGGGGATCCTTCTAATCGGAATCACCCAACCAAGCATGTTTGGGGTAGTGAAGGCTTGCCATGCCTGGGGGCATACTCACGTGCTTGACAGTGACTGTTAAGCCCTCACCGTTCTCTAAATCTTAGTTTACTAAACCCGCACCTAAAACACAGGCTTATGATACCAAACATACATCCCAAAAGGCTCCTAAATGTTTTTCATATCTCACAAGATTGGACTATAATATTGATAGCAGAAACTATGGTAGAGACAGACGGCCTAGTACAGAAGAACATGAAAACAAAACAGCGCGTGTAAATTTCACTTCAGGCTTAGCAATGGATTATGTTGCTTGGGGGTTTTCAGTGGTGAATACTTCCTAGTGTGGATCATGTCTAGGTTGACAGAAAATGTGTTGATTATTGTGAGTACTCACTTCTGATGTCCTTGCAGTGCTACAGTTTTCTCTTTCGGCATGCTGGCTTGTCCTGTCACTGCAATGTGTGCAATGTTCTTTGAGGTGAGCCGTAGCTCAAAATTACTTCATAATCAAATCCTCTTACTTGCAGAGAGCTTTATACCTTTTTTTCCTTCTTGTACCGTAGTTATTCTTCCTTGACTGGAATGCAGATACATGATGTATTGAACCGTGGGTCATTTCTTTGAGATGCAGGATCTGGTAATGCCAAGTCTATATTCAATTTTCATGATGCTAGTGCTTGGTCTGCTTGCCTTCTTGGCCGAGGTAATTTTGTACCCATTAGGGCTATAATATCATGAACAGTCAAAGCCAATGAATTGGCTGACATTTTATGCATAATTTAATTGAGCTGTCTATGGATGAATGTCCAACTGAAGGTCTGTTGGGCTCGGGGACTTCAACTCGAGAAAACCATCAAAGTCGCCAACCTTCGGTATATGGAGGTAGCTTCACTAGCTTTCTTTGTTTATGTCTTTACTCAAAAGTTTTTCTAAATTGAGGAACCCTATATTCCAGGCTTCACTGGTGCAATTGTGGCATATTGGAGTATTAGGAGTGGCTCCGTTTGGTCCGATAGTTGGAATTCTACTTATTTTGATCTCTACGTGTTGGACGTTATATGTTGGTCCCGACAGAGAAATTGAGTAACATGTTCACGGCAAAGAACGAATGCCTTCCCCTTTCTTTTTGTAGTGTGTTGTTGGTTACCTTCCATTGTTAACATTTTTCATTTTATCATTCATAAGAGTGTATTATTGATCTCTAATTGTTACTTAGAAATTGTTCAATAAATGATGTTAAGATTGCATCCCAAGTGGAAATCCACACGAGAAAAATGAAACCCACAACACAAAATTACAAATGCAAATGATGTTAAGATTTCAAAGCCTCAGATAGCCAGTCTATTTGACATCAATGAAAACTCAGCCGGTAATTCCAACTAAAACAGAACAAATCCTCATTGGCTTTTCAGTTCGTGAAATTAAAATTTGAGACATAAAAATTGGGAATAGAACGATAAGATGAATTTGAATGTTGAAATAAATGGAATAGAAGAAACGTAATCACACAAAACGGCTCTGTAAATCCATAGAAAAAGATAAACAGATTCCTATCAAGATGTAAAAATTTTGATTTTGGTTCAATCATAGCATCGACGGTCACCACCATTGAGCTACCGACGACGTGGCATCGAACCGCAGAACAAAAAACAAACACAAAATCCTCAGAGACCCGTTTCAAATCAACCACACAGGAGAATCACATAACCGGCTGCAAATTCCCGACCAGTAAAAACCCCGAAGAAACCAGATCGCTCCGGTAAAGAGACGAATCGGAGACGGAGCTCACTGGCGGATGGGAACCACAGTCGAGTGGCTTCTCGCTGCGATTTGGAGTGTCATACGGCACTTCCTATCAATTTTGGGAGAGCTTCCTCATTGGATTCAAACTCTAAACCCTAAACCAACAAATCGTATTGCTAACTCGAATCGAAAGAAATCCAAAGCCGCTGAAATAAAAGGAATCATAATTAGGGAAGAATTCAACTTCAGAAAGATGAAGATGACGACGGAGATTGGTCGGTATTTATGGAGGCGAGAGAGGCCGTGAGTTTAGGGGCCCTGAATTTGTAGCCCTAATTTCTGACGTTGATCTCAATATGGGCCGGGCTTTTTTCAATTTGGGCCCTCAGGATCTCAAGAGGTTATAACTAAAATAACTAAAATAATAATTTTTAAAATCGAATAAAGTAAAATAAGAGATAACCTAAATTAAATATATCATAAAATGGTATTAAATCCTTAATATTCACACACAAAACAGCTTGCACGTGCGAGGAAGGTCACTCAATGAGCAGGGTAAAACCAAATCCAAAACGTTGTCGTTTCTTAACATGTTCGGTGGTTTCATGATTTTACGACAACCCAAAAACCAGTTCGCCGGATCGGTGACCATTTTTCAGAGACATGAAAAGACCCACTTTAGTCTTCCGCCGCCACCGCCGCCGCCGTGGTGTTTCATAGCATCAATTTCATCCCCATCCTCCATTCCCAGCTGAGAATCGAATCGAACCGACACACAGAAATTGGGATAAAAAAACCAAACCAAAACCCAAAAAAAGAAGAGGTTCGAAAAAAACAACCTCATCGGCTGTTTGGTTTCCGGCAATGGCATGGCCGTCCAACAGAAACGCAATGGTTCTCAGCTCCAATGCTTGTCGTTTACAGTACCCTTTCATAAGTTTACTGAGTTGCGTCCTCTTACAAATCCTGAAATATACTTCACTCCCATCCTACCAATCAAATAAAACTTCACTTTCATTTCGAGCGTTTTAAGGATTCGTCCAAAAAACACTGAAATCGGAGATCGAAACAGAACCTGCCCGTTGACCTTCACGTTGACATAGTTCGTTCCGGGTTGTGCTTCGGGTTTCCGGGTCGGTGCTTCCTGATTTTCATCCATCGTTGTCGACATTTTCGAAATTGAAATTTCTCGTTCTCGGGAAAAACTGTGTTCTGTTCAGGGGTTGCATTGCAGGAAGAAGACCCAACCTTTACACGTGTCGTAACATCATTGGTTTAATTTCGGCGTCTTGGGTTTCTAACTTCATTGACAGTTTTTGTGTTTTGGGCCTGTCAATCATTTGGGCCTTTCGGCCTAACATTTTTCGACCAACCAAATTTCGGCCTGTTTAGAAAGTAATTTTAATTTTGTATTAAAAAAAATAACCATATTTCTTAATTATTGAAAAAATAGTAAAACATAATATTTTAATATAAAATATAATTTATTAATATATCTAAAATGACAAAATATTTTTTAATTAATATATATTTGAAATATATAATCATATTGTTGATAGTGACATATATGAATATTAATAATGGTGACCTATGAATGACACTCTTTATTTATGTGTAGCCTTATTTTAGGCTACCAATTTATTGGACCTTTGACCATAAATTACTTTTTTTTTTTACTCAATATAATTTAAGATTATTCATTTAAAATTTAAATTCTAAAAAAAATTGTGGAATTAAAGTAAATATGACCCGAAATAGTTTTAAAAGTATTCCAATAATAATTATAGGTGTCTTTAAAATAAATGCATCATAAATACAATAAAGTATTATTAAAAAAAATAAATTTACTTTATTTTAGAATTTAATATCGGAAAAAAAAAAGTAATGAACTTATTATTACCGTAATGATTCGCTGGTTTACATTTCCAATTCACTCCGGTGGACCATGTCAGCGACAATGCCACGTGGAAGGCATGGACGTCGACGTTACATCGAAAACGATGTGGTCGCGATGCACTGTATTAAAAATGACAATTTTTTTAGCAGTACCAGGACAACGGTCGAGTTTTGTGGGCCCATTGTTGTCCAAACGGTTCTAGCGTGGATCAGGATCTTGACCGTTCATTTTATGATTATCAGGCGTGAGGAGTATTGACGGTTCAGATCCAAGGTCAAGGTTTTGAACGTTATTTTACTTTCTTCCTAGACTACAATACAAATTAAATTGCCTAAATTGTAAAACTTACCTTTGTAGTTTGTTTTACAAAAGTATAAACAAACAATGTCGGGATGATCTGAAATCGAGTGTCACCATGCTGTTTTAGGTCATCGCTATATTCGTTTAAGGTCTCTATTATCGTCCAATATTAAGTACTTTTTGTAATGTAGCCTTAAAAACGTGTAATATTGGAGTTAATATTAGGATCCTATCAACTTTTTTATATGTTCTGTTTCGGTAAAGTTTTGAGGAATCGAACACCTAACCTCTTGATCGATTGACAATAGGGCTCGAGACTGGCTAATAATTAAGATTTAGAGTAAAGAGTCGTGTTTTTTTTTTTCAACGGAAATTGAACATATAACCTCTTGATTGATTGATAGTAGGGCTTGAGAATGGCCAATAATTAGAGTTACGAGTAAAGAGTAGTATTTTTTTTTAATAGGAGTCGAAACATTTAACTTCTTGATAGATTAGCAGTAGGGTTCGAGATTGGCTAATAATTAGGGTTAGGAGTAAAGAGTAGTATCTTTCCAATGGGAATCAAACATCTAACCTCTTGATCGATTGACAGTAGGGCTCGTGATTGGCTAATAATTAAGGTTGGGAGTAAAGAATAGTATTTTTTTCAACTGGAATCGAAACATCTAACCTCTTGATCGAATGATAGTAGGGCTCTAGATTGGCTAATAATTAGGGTTAGGAGTAAAGAGTAGTATTTTTTCGAACGGGAATCGAACATCTAACCACTTGATCAATTGACAATAGTTCTCGAGACTAGCTAATAATTAGGGTTAGAAGTAATGAGTAATATTTTTTTTAACGGGAATCGAACATCTAACCTCTTTATCAATCATCAGTAATGCTCGAGATTGTCTCACAATTAGGGTTAAAAGTAAAGAGTAGTATTTTTTCAATGAGAATCAAACATCTAACCTCTTGATCGATTGACAGTAAGGCTCGAGATTGGCTAATAATTAGGGTTAGGAGTAAATAGTAGTATTTTTTCAACATAAATCGTTGAGTATCTAATCTCTTAATCATCTGACACAAGGGCTCAAAATTCACTAATAATTAGGGTTAGGAGTAAAGAGTAGCATTTTTTCAACGCGAATCGAACATCTAACATCTTGATCGATTAACAGTAGGACTCGAGATTGACCAATAATTAGGGTCAGAAGTAAAGAGTAGTATTTTTTCAACAGGAATCAAACATCTAATCTCTTGACAGTAGGGCTCGAGACAAGCTAACAATCAAAGTTGAGAGTAAAGAATAGTATTTTTTGAACAAACATCGAACATCTAACCTTTTAATCAATTGACCGTAGGACGTGAGATTGGCGTGTAATTAAGGTTAGGAGTAAAGAGTCTTACTTTTTCCACGGTAGTAAAGAGGGCTAAAAATGGTAGATTTTAAGATAGACGGTAAGATTAGCTGGAAACAAGAAGCCTGAGTTTTGAGCCCTGCCCATGTTGGGCCCATCACTGAGCTTTCTCAGTGATAAAAGACGCACCCATCTCTCGCACTCGGCCACTCAGCCACTCTGCTCCTAATCATCCACAATTTTAGTGCTTTGTAATGGAGCGGCTAACTCTCTCCTTCTTCATCTTCCTCCTATTCCTCTACCCATTTGCAGGTAACCTTAACCCAAACCCAAACCATTTTACTTTTTCTGTAACAAATTGTTGGTTATGTTATGGTCTTCACTGTGTCCTGTTTTTTTATTTTTTGTTGCAGAGAGTGGTTCGATCGGAGTCAACTACGGCAGAATCGCCAACAACCTCCCCTCCGCCGTCAAAGTCGTTAAGCTTCTCAAATCCCACGGCCTTCAAAGGGTCAAAGTTTACGACACCGATCCGGCGGTTCTCAGAGCCCTCTCCGGCTCCGGCATTAAAGTCACCGTCGATTTGCCTAACGAACTCCTCTTCGCCGCCGCCAAACGACTCTCCTTTGCCTACACTTGGGTCGAAAAGAATGTGGCGGCTTATTACCCTTCCACTGAAATCGAAGCCATTGCCGTCGGGAACGAAGTCTTCGTCGACCCGCACAATACGACGTCGTTTCTTGTTCCGGCGATGAAGAATATTCACCAAGCCCTCGTCAAACACAACCTCCATTCCGCCATTAAAGTCTCTTCGCCTATAGCTTTAAGCGCCTTACAAAACTCTTACCCTTCCTCAGCCGGTTCATTCCGACCGGAGCTCGTCGAACCGGTTTTCCGGCCAATGTTGGAGTTTCTCCGGCAAACTGGCTCTTATTTAATGGTTAACGCTTACCCATTTTTCGCTTATGAGTCCAACTCCGACGTGATTTCTTTAGACTACGCTCTTTTCCGGGAGAACCCCGGCGTGGTGGATTCCGGCAGTGGTTACCGGTATTTCAATCTATTCGACGCCCAAATTGACGCCGTTTTTGCCGCAATGTCGGCTCTTAAATACGACGATATTAAAATGGTGGTTACGGAAACTGGGTGGCCGTCGAAAGGCGACGAGAACGAGATCGGCGCTAGTGCTGCAAACGCCGCCGCATACAACGGGAATCTGATCCGTCGGATTTTGAGCGGCGGTGGAACTCCGTTGAGGCCGAAAGCAGATCTGACCGTCTATTTATTTGCCCTTTTCAACGAGAACAAAAAGAACGGTCCCACATCGGAAAGAAACTACGGTTTATTTTACCCAAACGAAGAGAGAGTTTATGACATCCCGTTTACTACCGAAGAGTTGAAAGATTACCACGACAAGCCGTCCCCGGCGCCCGCAACCGGTGGAGACGGGCAGACAGGATCAGGCCACGGCGATGGCGGTGTATCAAAGAGTCAAACCGGGAACACGTGGTGCGTTGCGAGTGGTGAAGCGGGGAAAGAGAAGCTGCAGGCAGGTCTAGATTATGCTTGTGGCGAGGGAGGAGCAGATTGCCGTCCGATCCAACCCAGTGCCACGTGTTACAATCCTAACACTCTCCAGGCACACGCTTCATATGCTTTTAATAGTTATTACCAGAAGAACGTCCGCAAGATTGGCACGTGTTACTTTGGCGGGGCGGCTTACGTCGTCACTCAACCACCTAGTAAGTACTCTATAACTCCACTCATTATTATTAGTTCAGTTCACCTTTTTTTTCTCTTAAAATGCGCACGTTAGAGAATCCGACCCGGTCCGCATTCCCATGCTAAAATGCGCCACACGGGCCCCGAGGTTGAATATTGAGCTGCACGCCAGCTCAGTAAGAAGTCAAATTTCACACATAACTAATAAACAAAAGAATCCAATTTTGCTGACGTGGCACTTTAATTTTTTTAAAAAATATTTTAAATATCCCATTTTCTGTGGTAAAAAGTATATATATATATAATTATATATAATACCCTTTGCAGTAAATATTTTCATTATCCTTTTTAAAGTTTTCACTTTTAAGAGTAATGTTTCTTTCAACTAGTACAGGTATGATTTTACAGGCTAGCGTTCTCGTTAGTACACCGATATCATATATTTGCGAAGAAAAAGGCATGAATTTGAAGTTTTTTTTGAATGAAAAAGAGAGAAAAAGATGGGATCTTTATAATGGCTGTGGCTCTTTATCTCTTTTTACTCAATGAGAAGACAAAAACTGAAGAGAATTTGAGCTTTTGGGTTCTTTTTTTCTTTGCTTATTCTCATTCCTTTGAGCATCAAGTTTCTGAAAAAGGGCTGTCTTTTTTGTGGTCTTCTTTTCCTTTTTGGTCGCCTTTTTCTGCAGAGTTTGGTAGCTGCGAGTTCCCAACTGGGTATTGAAGAATCTCATTAATGGGAGCAGTCGAAGTGGAAGGGATCATAGAAACCAAAAAAAAAAAAAAAAAAGGTTAACCTTTTAAGTTTGTTCTTAGAATATGAAACAGAATTCTTTTGTAATCCAATTGCTTTGGATAATGGCGGTTGGATTTTAAGGTTGTTTAATGTTGTTGTAAGAGTTCCTTGTCTGTAATTATAACATGTTCTGTTCTTCCTTGTTACGGTTAGACTTCATCTGGTGTTTTTTTTTTAATATAATCTAATTATATTGTTTCAAGCATATGTTTAAATTTAATCATGAGATTTGCAAGTGGGTTGTGACATTTTTTGTGTAAATCATGTCTCCATATTCAATATATTAAAGAATCTATGGCATGCTTGTAGTATAATATAATATTTTCATTTGAAAGGACAATGGTCTTTTAGAATTTGATTATTTTAGTGGTATTTGCAATAAATTGTTGTTCCCATGTGCTTATGGGGCCATCCATCACGTCTCTCTTATGTCATCGTTAACTTGAATCAAGTTCGAAGATGATATAGAACCATCTAACCTTACTGCAACCATATATTGTTCTTTTTGAGATTTTTTCTTTTGGGCTTTCTCTAAAAGTTTTTTAGGGGATGTTTCACGTTCTTATAAAGAATGATTTGTTCTCCTCCACAACCGATGTAGAATCTCACAATCCACTTTTCCTTTGGGACCCAGCGTCTTCATTGTCATTCGTTCTCTTCTCTAATCGACGTGGGGTCTCACATGATAATTGTAGTTATATTCTTATCGATAACTTTTTATTTAGCTTGTTGTTCCATTTATCGACGGAGAGATCACTATTTGAAGCTATTTTTCTTAACATGTGTGAGAATAGCTATAGGAAAAATTAATGGAATATTATGAACGCAATTACCCTATTCGAAAATGAGTAGAGTTGCAAACATAACCCCCAAAATTATGGGCATATGATTTGGGATATTGAAGCAAATATGAATGGGTCACATGAAGCTATCACTAAAAAGAGGAATATAACCAAAAAAGGAGTGTGAGTTTCAGTGATGGTATCAATAAATTTCTGTCCTCCTACTGGTCCACCAATATTCCCATCTTTCAAATCCATCTTTCCTTTGTAAAGATATTGCATTTTTTTTTACGTATTTGCGGGTGTTTGGACTAATAAGCACGTATCTCGACTATTTACGAAGGACATGTTTGATTGTACTACTTTTAGTTGTCAAGAAAACTCGTAGGATACTAAATTTGATGTTGACATCAACCATCCCTTTTGTAGAACATTAGAAAAAATCGCGGTGATTCTAGTTGTTTGCATCTATATATCTTGAGATCCCGCATCGATTAGAGAGGGGAACGAAACATTTCTTATAAGGATGTGAAAATCTCTCCCTAATAGATACGTTTTAGAATTGTGAGGTTTCACGATGATATGTAACGGACTAAAGTATACAATATCTGTTAATGGTGGACTTGAGCTATTATAAATGAAACTAGAGTTGGACATTGAGCTATATACTAGTGAAGACATTGGACCCTCAAAACGTGTCTTAAAATTGTGAGACTGAAGACGATATAGATAAATGAAATGATACGGTGGGCGGGCGGGCGGGCGGCTCTGAAAAGGGTATCGAAATGAGTGAAAGTTATGAGAAATGGGTGGAAAAGGAATTGGAAAAGATGAAGATTAAGGGAATGAAGATGGTGAAAAGGTGTGGCTCTCAGCAGTGTGGGTCTCCCACAAACAGAGGGTCAGTGTAATAATTTAGGAAGCACTAAGATTCTTGTTGTCTCCTCCCTTCATCACCATGTGATAATGCTTTACTATTATTATCCTTTCAAAATTTTAAATAATTAATTTATTAATATATTTAGACACACTCACATTGCTATGTTAGACGAGCAAAAGGTGGATCAGCTAGACAATTGAGCTGTGTTTAGTGTCATGGTCATGCTCCTAGGACGTGTTACGCTAAGTCCCTTTTCTATAAAATTATGTTTAGACCTGAGATGTACTATAGGAGACCAAGTATTGCAACTTATGAGCATACACGAGACATATGTCAAGGTAATATTGAAAATGATGATAATCACACCTATTTTTGGGCCAAAAGGTGAATGGCAGCCACCAGTTCATTCCAATATGATAACAACGCCATTTCCCTTTCATTTCTACCAATAGAACTTGGTCAACCATCTTATTTTCGAACTTTCCTCACCTCCACAAACCTACCTCTTTATTTCTGTAGCCATTATTGGATGAGGACACCACAATTTTTTCATTCAGTACAAACATTCAACAATACAAAACTATTAGCACGTTGTGACGATTCCCTCACGAGCCAAAACGACCCAACCATGCCAAGCAAACTACGGAAGGCCCTCTACGCCGTGAAAGACCAAACCAGCATAAGCCTCGCCAAAGTTTCCTCCTCCACCGGCGGTCCCAATGCCATCTCCCTCGAAGTCGCCATCCTCAAAGCCACCACTCACGATGACGTCCCCCTCGAGCAACGCTACGTGGTGGAAATCCTCCACTTAATATCCGCCAACAAATCCCACGCCGCCGTCTGCGCCCATTCCATCGCTAAACGCATCAACAAAACCCGCCATTGGATCGTGGCATTGAAATCCCTTAACCTCGTGCTCAAAATCTTCCAAGACGGTGACCCTTATTTCCCGCGTGAAGTTCTTCACGCTATGAAACGTGGCGCCAAAATTCTCAACCTCTCCAATTTCCGTGACGATTCCAATTCAAGCCCTTGGGATTACACTGCCTTTGTTCGAACTTTTGCTCTGTATCTCGACGAGCGCTTGGATTGTTTCTTAACTGGGAAGCTTCAAAAGCGATTCACTGAACGGAAAACAGAGAGTTTCAATGGAAATACCCGACGGATCAACGAGCCGATTCGGGATATGAAGCCGGCGATGTTAATTGATCGGATTTATTATTGGCAGAAGTTGTTGGACAGAGCAATCGCCACCAGACCCACTGGACCGGCGAAGGGGAATCGATTGGTTCTGAATTCCCTTCACGCCGTCGTCCAAGAGAGCTTCGATTTATACAGGGATATCTCCGATGGGCTTGCGCTTCTTTTGGATAGCTTTTTCCATTTGCAGTATCAGTCATGTGTTAATGCGTTTCAAGCTTGTGTCAAAGCAGCGAAGCAATTTGAGGAATTGGGTTCTTTTTATGATTTGTGTAAGAGCATTGGGGTTGGAAGAACTTCGGAGTATCCGAGTGTTCAACAGCCCTCCGATGAGTTGATTGAGACATTGCAGGAGTTCTTGAAAGATCAAGCTTCTTTCCCATGTCATGACAGCCGGTCGCCACCGGCGCCGGTGATTCTTTCCGGAACAATTTCGACGATGAAACTCACCGACGATCTCGAACAATCTGAATCGTCGGATAAGAATTCTGAGAGGGAGTTGGATTTTAACTCGTTTGGGGAAATGATGAGCGCTACTGGAAGCTGGACTAGCCCTGCGAATTCCGTCGAGCAAGACGGTGAAGGGTATTCCGATTATCAATCGGAGAAGCAATCCCGGTTGGGAGATTTTGCTAATGAATCAAATCTTTCTCCGAATTTCGCTTTCTTTGAAGATGACGAAAAGCCCTTTCAAGAAGAATCCGAATTTGGGGCTGCTCCGGGTTTGAGATGTGGGGACTGGGAGCTCGTTCTGGCGGAGTCGGCGACGGACACGGCGGAAGAATGGCCGGATTTCTTCGCTCCTTCCATCGGCGACGACCCGTTTGAGAAACCCTTTTCTTCGCCGCAGCACCAGTACAACAACCCGTTCCTTCAAGATTCAAATGAATCGTTCGCAGTTCCGCCGACGTTCAAAGCAGAGACGGAAATCGCTCCGACATTTCGCGCCGAGAACGTTAAGGAAGCTGTGGTCGTAGCCCCAACTTTCAGAGTGGAAACGCCAACATTTTCTTCACAGCATCAAAATGGTTCGATGTTCGATGATTGGGGCCCAATTCCAAATGGGTCTGGGTCTGGGTCTGGGTTTGAGTTTGATTTGGGGGCTGAAAATGATCCGTTTGCAGAGGCGTGGAATAGCAATTTGAATGGAAATGAACCAAGTTTGAACGTGATGGATCAAGAAAGTTTGTTGCAACAGCAGAAATTGTGGAAAGAGCAACAAAACAAGATCATAGCTAAGCATTCGGAATGATATGGAGAAGAAAAATGGGAATTTGGGATGTAAATTTAACACAGCTTATTGGCTTGTAAATACCCCTTCGCAGAGTTCATTCAATTCATAAAAAAAAATCTTTACTTTTATCTCTTACAAAAGACGGTCTAAGCTCACTTGCAAATATGCTCTCCATACGACGTGAGATCTCACAATCTCCCACTCCCTTCGAGGTCCAACATCTTCGCTAACACACCGCCCGATGTCCACTCCCCTTTGGAACACAGTGTCCTCACTGCCGCATCGCTCGGTGTCTGACTCTAATACCATTTGTACAACACAATTTTAAACTGCGTTTACTATGGATAGATTTCAACTCACTTCTAAGGAATGTTTCGTTCTCCTCTCCAACCAACGCGGGATCTCACAATTCACCTCTCCACCGTTCCTAACTTTGCTTTGGGACACTCGAGCTCACCCTTTCCTACATCTTTTCTCCCTCCGGACCAGAAATCACATGGATCTAGGCCCATAATTGCGAACCTCCCTCACACATGGGATGATGCCCATCTCCCTCTCCTGAGTGAACCCCAAGCTTTCACAGCCCTACAAGATTTATCCTTCAAAGCAATAAAGAAGGATCCCTAGCTATAAATAATTAGTGGGGTTGGCATTGTTTTCACAGGAAGAGAAGAAGCCACAAGGCCCCACCCTTCTTCCTTCCTTCTCTTTTCTCCATTATTTATCCCCTTCAGATCTGGATATGGCTATGGCCATAGAGTAATGGATGATGAAACACAAACATACATACAGAATCAGACAGAACACAACCCATTCAGCTCAACACAACAAAACAAAAACGATTCAGAGCATCATCATCACCATGATCCGACACATTTGTTGGCCAAAAAAGTATGCACAATCAATCAAATGAAACATAAATTTCTTTCTTTTTCTTCTTCAATAAATAGTAAAGTGAAGAAACCCACTTCAAATTTACACAATCAAACAAAACGACAATCATGGGAATGAGAAACCTCACTTAAATTCCTCATCAGTCATTAAATTATAATAATATCAGGAAAAAGCCTACCAGGATACTCCCTAAAACCCGCATCCATGCTTCTTTCTTCCCATTTTTTTCCTTTTTTTTCTTCTAAAACTTACAAAAAAAAAAAAAGAAATTAATTAATTAAAAAAAGAAAAAACGACAATATACTAACGGTTGGGTTGGTCATATGTTGTTGATGTTGTAACCTTTCTTTTTTCCCTCTGTCTTCAGCAGTTAGAAAAATCCAAACGAACTCTGCAGATACCTGAAAATACGGTTTATAAATTAATTAATTTCCCTATTATTTTTATTCCCAAAAATAAAATAAGAAAAGACGGTCGATTTAAGTACTGTCATAATTCCCACGACTAAATTATGTGTTAGGTTTATGGTGGTCCCCACACGTGTGATGGGCGATCCTGATACGACGTCGCATTTGTTTCCCCAACCGGTGACTTGCACTGGCCGGTCCCATGAGTAGGGGCATCATGGACTTTCTACCAAATGACACTCTCGGGTCAATCTTAGATAAAGGTTTAAAGTGTAGGGTCAACACGTGATACTATAGCGAGTTTCCGATTTACCCTCGGATTATTCTTACCTTTTACGGCGGGGGTTAGTTCCTTTCGCGGTTATTCCCTCCAGGTCCTACTGAAGATGCTTCTCAGCCGATTGCCGTTGAGTCGCTGCAGGGTTTTTTTAGCACCGGCGACGTCCTTGTTCGTGAGATTCTGCAGGTGCTGGTAAGCTCCGGCGTCGATTAGTCTTTTCCGGCAGCCGTTGCTTCCGCCGGCGAGTACAGCCGTGACGATGGCTAGCGGGAATGTCTTGTTGACGACCTCGTTTTTTGGATCGAGCATTTGCATCAATCTCATCACGCTCTTCTCGTCCTTCATTAACTCTTTCCGATTTGATCGGACGGTCAATAGAGATGCTAGGGCTCCCACCGCCACCTCCTGAACTCCAGCCGGCTTCGGCATCTCCATTAGTTTCACCAACGAACCCATACAACTTCCAATCGCTCTTTTGTTTCCATCGCTGATTGATAAATTGGCAATCAGAGAGGCGGCGATTTGCTGCAGCACTAAGTTTCCGTGCTTCACTAATTCGCCGAGTTTCATTACAAATAATATTGAAGATGATAGAATCCGAGCGACGGAATCGGAAACCGCAAGCGAGCTAAGGGCTCGCAACGCGTTTGCGATCGTATCTGAACTCGGTGAGTAATGGATCAAATGTAATAATCTTTGTAACCCTAGTTCTTGGATTATCAGTGATCGGAAATACTCACCGGAGGCGGCTAATACTGCTATGGACATTGATGCCTTCTCCTGTGTGGCGGTTGTGCTCGAAATTAGAAACTGTAACAATACTGGAATCGCCCCTTCCTCGACGAGAGAGGTTTTGATATCTTCCACCGCCGTGACATTTCTAATCGCACCGACCGCTGAAGCCTGCAGCGGAGGGGTGCCTGATCGGCAGGCCTCGATTAAGACTGGCACGCCTCCATAAGCGGAAACGGCCCAAGCGTTTTCAGGGTCGACGGTGATGGCTTCTACCGCGGCGGCGGCTTTTTCCTTCAGATGTATTGATCCTGTTTCGAGAATCCTCAACAATGGGCCTAATCCTCCTTCTTCGAACACTCTTCTCCTCGATTCATCGCTGGCCGTGGAGAGAACGGAAACCGCAGAAGCCGCAATCTCTCGCACAGACGGATGAGCGTTGAAATCGAGCAAATGAATCAGATACCCAACGTTTCCCTCTTTGGCAACTAACCTAGCAGATTTCTCGTCCTGGTTCAAAAGCTGAACCAGAGATTCCAGAGCCTTCTTCTTAAACTCCATCCCTCCGATTTGCAACCGCGTGAAGAGATCCCTGATGAAAAACTCCGTATCGTCATTATTCGAACCCGGAACCGGCTGAGAAAGCACTAGCGCGTTGGATTGGTAGAGAACCCCAGATCTAAGCAACAAATCGAGGTCGTTGAGCTGGCTAGACAGAGAAGCAGACACCATATCCAAATCACTCTGCATATGAAGCTTCCCGCCGGAAAAGGCAGAATCGGAGCATTGGTCAGACAAGGACTTCAGCCGCTGAAGCGTCGAGAGGAGCGACGGGAGAATGGTTTGAACAAGTGGATTCTCCGACCAGTAAGGGGAATCCAAGATTTCAACGAGAGCAGAGTGAAGAGTTGAGAGCTTCGAATGGAGAACCTGCCACCGCCCGACGAAGGACCGGACATTGAGGGATGAAAGTAGTAGAAGCGAAACAATCTGAATGATGAGGTCGAGAAGTGCCTGGGAGGAGGAGTTGGACGGCAGCGGTGGAATGGGCGGTCCAGCGGTGGTCGGAGGCATTTACGAGCAAGATTTTGATCGGAGCAGAACCCTAGAGAGCTTTGAAACAGCGGTGAGAAGCAGAGAACATGACAGAGAGGAGGGTTGCTTGGTGGGAAAGGAAAAAGGAAGATGGAGAGGGAAAATCGAAGTGCCTCTGACACAAAAAACGATACAGAAAAAGGGTTTGTTGGCGGAATCAAAAACACAATCAACGATGATAAGAGAGAGAGAGAAAAGCCTGTGAGGACATGAGGAGGATGAAAAGAGAGAACATGGTCACGCGGAGAAGACCGTGGAAATTCAACTGGGCCTTTTCTTATTGGGCCTAATGGGCCCGGTAATCCCTTCAAGCTTTTTACCAGCTTAACACATCAGCCCATCAAAATTTACTCCGCCCCATACAAAATTAAAATTTTATTTAATTTTTTAAAATTCATTTGAGAATAATTATTAAATTTTATTATAAAATTAAATAAAAAACCTAAAATTTAAATCACTTTATTTATTTATATCAAATTGTGATGACATTTTTTTTAATATAAAGTCAAATACAAATATTTAATTTTTAAGCGGTATCATAAATAACACCTGGAAACAAAGGACCCCTAATTGACTTTTTTTGTTTTATTTTCTATTAGTATCAACTTAAATTCAAATTATTATTACTTAATGAAATTCAAACTTTTAATTTTTTAATGAATACATTAAAAAAAATTATCATCTTTCATCATTAAAAAAATATGCCAAAAATATAAATATTAATGATCAATTGTGATTAAAAAAATAATTTCAATTCATAATTAATTTTCGCCTAATTTATTATATTTTTTTTATTATAGTCAATTTATTGTAGATTTGGACGTAATTGAATAATACCAAAAAATTATCACATATTTTACATAATTTAGTCAAATAATAATTATAATTATAATAAATTGTTTGAAAAATTCTGAAAATATATTAACTTAGTTTTATATTTTAAAAGGGCCTACAAAATAAATATTTTACATAAAAAAATTAATTTATTTAAAAAAGAACCAAGGTTTCTATCAAATTAATACACCTTAGAAAGTAAAAATTAACCATTTTTTTTTCAAGAAACTAAAATTACATTTTAGCCCTAAAACTTTTTAGTGATTAAAATTCCAACAATATTTGTTTTTAGAAATTACACGGTTTCCCGAAGGTAATAAAATGCAATGTTAGGCTATTGACAAAAAATCTGGAATTTATTTTTAATTAAAAAAAAATATTCCAAAAAATGTGTGTCCTTCTCCTAAACCCTTCTTCTACCTCCATCGCCATTCGTTCTGCAACCAGAAAATCAATCGAGAAGAAGCCAACGAGCTGAAGAAGGCTTCACCTTCCAAAAATGGTGCACAAACCGTGGAGAATAATACCGAGGCCCTTGCTCGAAACGGTCCTCAACAATCATTCACAGCACCACCGCGTCCCTCAACCTTTGATACTTCATGGCCCCAGAGGCGTCGGGAAAACCACTCTCATTCTCGAACGTACTGTTCTAATCTATTTTTTTTCTTCTGTAAATTTTCTATTGAATTGTTTGTCTAATGGTTCCTGATGTTTCTCAGGTCTTCTGGCTGACTGGAATAAAGGCCCCCACTTATCTGGATATGTGGATTTTGCTGAAACTATTAAAGATCATCACCCACTTCACGGCCAATCGTTTCCCTGGGCGTCGTGGTCGAATTGTCCGTCGCCATTAGTGTCGGATTGCAGAATTAAACTGGAAAGTTGCCTTGAATCCATGGCTGAGAAGGGCGTCAAATTAGGCAGTATAACATCCCATCAAATATTCACCACCATGAACAAGTGGCACGGCCTGAATACAGCCCTTCGCCGCGTACTTCATGGGGATAATGCTTCGAAAAGTTTTGTTTCGCGCAGAGCGTCAAGCTCGGCTCTGTGGGATCAAGCAGTTTTTGCACTGTCTGCTCGATGTAATGCCGCTGAGGTTGATGGGGTTTTAGGATTGGGTGATGAAGGGAGGACTTTATCAATTGAAGAAGCTTCTTATTTTAGAGAGTCTATTATGGCGCTGAGATTGGCCAAGGAGGTGATCAAAATTCAGCATGGGTGGCGAGCTAAAGCTATTGCTGATCTGAATCGGACGCGTAGTTTTTCATCGTCATTGGCACATTCCTGTACTGATTGGCCTTGTTTGTTGATAGAATTGCTGTCACAAGCCGCTGAAATCGACCATTTTCAGGTAAACATATTTAAAACAATTTGAGTGCTGATGTAGTTTAATTAATATCGGTCCCTTGGTACAAATGAACCCCGACGTTCCAATTTTGTCTTCAAGGAATTTTAGGTTGAGGCTGCTCATTTTTGTAGTAATACAAGGCTTAGAAATGGGGATTACCTTACAATTTCATAATGGTTTTGATTTTGTTAAACATGTCGAAATATGTATGGAATTGGACTGTAACTTTTTTCTTTTTTTGGGTTTTTTTTGGCAGCCAAAATTAATTATTAACAATATAGACGTGTTGCGAAATGCAAGTTTATCGGATGACGATACATCGGTCTGTGGATCAATGTATCATGACAGCCTAGTGTGGAGAATAATTTCCCTAGGGGCAAATGAAAGGTGTCTTCCTGTTATACTTGTAACGTCAGATAGGTAAGGTTGATTGCCATACCCTTGAATTCTCTTATATATAATGATTCAATCGTAAGAACTTCACAGAATGTAAATGCTGGGTACCCAATCGTATTATTAGTTATTCTATAATGAGAGAAAGCTAATCAAATAATGTCTATTTAAAAAATATTTAATATGAGGTTGATATTCCAGCATATTGCAGTAATCTACAGTGTGGTCTTTTGTTTCTGGTCATCTGATCCATTTCAGTTGAATTTGGCTTTCATATTTAGCTATGTTTTCTTTGGATAAGAAACAATTTCGTTGATGGTATGTAAATATTTAGCTACATGTTAGGTATGTTTGACTCACTCTTCATATTCATATACCCCATACAGAATCTAGTACTTTTCATCACTGCCTTCTTCTGCCTCTTGAACAGCTACTATTCGTACCGTGCTTACATGGATTTTGGATTTCCAGATATATTTATCTCACGTGAGGTACGGTTTGTATAACGAAGGTTGCACTAATTTATCTTTGTTTCAATATTTATGTCATTTTTCTATTTTCCAAGATTCCCATTATGGGCGTTATTTAACTATGGTTGTAATGTCATTTTGGTTCCTATACCTTGAAACTCATTCCATTTTCGTCCAAACAAACATGTCCACTTCGTCCAAGATTTTCAGCCTTTGCCATCTTATACAATATGCTATTTTTTTTTTTTTTTTTTTATTTATTACAATGAATAAGTTAACCGTACCCTAGGCTGTTGGTCGATGACTGTTCAATATGGTTGAGATTAGTGGTAATTTAATGTGATATTGAGATCCTAGTATTAAAATTGCATGCCTTCAAAATTTAGGTCTTGTTGATTGAGCTTGGTAATCAAAACAAAAATGGATCTCTGATGGAGATGGAAGTGTTAAGAATTTGTATAAAGAAATAGAGCAACTTCAATCTGACAACTTAAGCATTTGAGATTGATAGTACTTGAACAGGGCAAGGAAACCAATGAATGGACGCAACCATACAGAAAACGATAGAATGTTTTCGTCTCGTTTTATTAACTTCATCTTCTTTGATTGCATAAGCATGTGAATGCTTGGAGAGCTGTTATTCTAGAACAATCATTCTGTATCTCACCCTTTCAAGTTCGTTTGATCTGTAGACCTTTGGGTGGACTCCCCAAGAGGCTAAACTGCATATGGTTCCTGATTATTTCAGCAATGCAGAGGTAAGCACTGCTATGAATCCTAAAGAACACTATTCTTGAGAGAGCTGTAATTGAAATGCAGAAGTTTAAATTTAATAAAGCAACCGAAGAGGAATGAATGTATGAGAAAATAATGTTATAAAGCTTGTTTGCTCTTGAAGCAAGTTTTTCAATCATTGAATAAAATCATTTATAGACTATATTTTTTCTCTCCAAATTGTAGTGGAAGCTGATTGCTGAGGTGCTTGGCCCAAACCCTCGACACTTATTTGAGCTTTATGCTCTGAAACAAAGCAACTACTTTAACAAAACGTAAGAGTGCGATGATTTGTTTTTATTCTCATTACTGCAATACCTAGAAACTTTATTGACACTTGGCTTCGTAGATGTCACGATAAGCTTTATCTAAGTGGTATTGTAATATGAAATGTTTGGCTGTGGTCGTTGCACAGATAGTTCTCTAATAAAGTACGTTGATTACTAAATGGAAGCATTACTTTCAATTTGTGTTTTTCATCCTTGTACCAGAAAGATAACTTAATTGTGCAGAAGTTCTACTGTACCAGAAAGTTAACTGAAATGTGAATAACTCTTTCATTTGTTCCATGAAAGTATAGTTTTTCATTTTTTGAAAAGATATTACATCGTATATTTGGAAATTCATTATTTGAAGACATCCTTTTCCTTTTCATAGAATCCACTGGAACTTTTTTTAAATGATTCAGTCTCTGCTTATATGGAGTGTTTGGTTCAGAAAAATGGAAAGTTGATTCTACATTGAATTTGATTATGACTGAACTTTATATTTGACTAAAGGGCAACGGATCATAATTTTGGCACAATCGAGGATATAGTAGATGCATACTTGGCATACTTGCAAGTAAGTATATGAAGACAAACTTGCCTAATGTTCTTTTACTGTTTACAGTCAACTAATTTGTTGACTTGCTACGTTCTCATTATCATCCCCATTATTTGTATGTTATTAGATAATAATATATATCTAATACTTTGTATGGCTGAAAGATATTTAGATAGAGTAAAATTTCTGTCAATAGCTTGTTATTGTGCATAATTCTCAATTCATCTTCTGGGAATTGAAGTATTAGGGTTAGATGAAACAGAGAAGGCATTAGTGTCCCAGTTATAATGGTTCCGCATGAAAGTTTGGTGGTGATTTCTGGTGCATTGGACCTATTAACTAGCTTAAGTAGCCCACGTCTAAGTTTTATTTTCATGTTCTTCTTCAGACAGTTTATTTCTATAATGATGCCTGCACGGTATTTTTTATCCCTTATTTCTATTAACTGCACAAAACTTAGTTTATGGATCTTCTACCTATTTAAAGGTGACAGTGGTAAATCCTGCCATGGATAGAGCGCTAGCACTCCTGCAAAAACGTGTTATTGATGTGCAAAATGGATTGGTTTCAAAAGATAGATTACGATTTGGTGCACCTTGGAGGCATCCTCCTCAGAGTGACGATCCACGTTTGAGCTTGGACTGGGCAAAGATTCAGCTGATGGATTTTGTGCATTCTCTTGTGGATGCAGAATTTGGGGTAGCTATTTGTGTTTTGGTGCAAAAATTGTTAGTTGTAAATGATTCCTATTGTGTTGCATAGCCCTTGAATCATTTTTCACGTGTGCATCAGAGAAGAGGTTTTTGGGTCTTAGCAGGTGTAGGATTACTTTGTTCTTTCTTCTTTGCTATCATCTTTTATCCAACCGTTATGATAATTTAATATATAGTTTCTTATGCTTATATGTGAAATTTTATAGATTAAAACAATTTCAATGTTAAAATTGACCAATAAAGACTTAAAATGAGTTTTCAGATTTATTTATTCTAAAAGATAAAATCTTAGTTGAGTGAAAATAATACTAAAAAAGATGGGATAGAGATTAGGATAGAAGATAACAGTAAGCATATTTAATTAAAACTTGACTGTCTCAAGAAGCTCCTCATAATATTTGATTACAGGTGGGATACCTTTTTTTTGAGCTTAGGTGGGATACTTTTTTTTTTTAGCTTAGGTGGGATGCCTTTTGTAATTGAACTTCTTGAGCATTATTAGAATATTTTTTTCCCCTTCTTCTTTTAGATATCCTCTGTACTAAAACTATTATGTTGGTCTTTATTCCTCATTTAAATTTCCACACCTGTCGTTAGGTGAACTATCTTGCCGACTGTAGCCTTGAGATTTTTGATGATCCTTCTGCTGTTGCCTTGGCTGAGGTTAGCCTTCTTCCACTAATGATTTTTTCTTATTTATGAGTTTTATAATCATATCGGCATTTGTATGGTTCACATAATTTTTGGTTTCACAGAAGTTCTTAACTACTTACTATTTTAACAAAGCCGTTAAGTTCTACTTCTAGCATTGTACCTTATGTTTTTCTTTAGTTTGGCAAATTATGTTTGACTTAAATGTTTGCTACTTTTGCCCCTTTTTAAAAAATAGAAACCTAATTTAGATTAGTTTTCTCCATCTACTTGTGTTATTTTTGATATAGTAAAAAAATTCTTTTATTTGTGTGTGTTCTCCAACATCATAATCTGTTGGGCTAACAACGGTTCTTAAAAAATTTGTGAGTAAACTGAAATTACTCCCCGAGTAGGTTTTACTAAATGGTGATACATTGGTAAAACCAAACTGCATAGGATAGGATTTGTTTTATTATCCATGTTATTCTACGGCTGCCATCTAATTCTAAACGTTTTTTCCTCGTGTGATTTTTCTCGCCTCTTGAAGGTTGGTTTGCTTTATGCACAACGGGATCCGTCCTTCATGCGACCAATATCTAGAGGGATTCAAAGATGTCTAGTGCGATGGTAAGTGGACCTTCTTGCCTGTTATACCGAAGGTAGAAGCTTTAATATGAATTCTAATGGAAATTTTCTATTGTTCTTCAGGCTTGTCCAACAGCAATTTCAACTTAGTTCCAGATGTCGTCTTCAGTATCTCTGGCAGAGAATTATACGTGGACGTAGCTATCGCCATCTGATGTTACAAGTGGGATATAAATAGACCCTGTAATAAGGTGAGGATTTTAAATTTACTAATTCTTTTAGTGTAATACTATTGGTCAGGTAAATAGACCGGATATCTACAGGGCTTCTTACCCCGACGACTCCGGTGTGGCATGTAGGAGGTCTGATTGAATGACTAGATTTCAATTATTGAACAAATTTTATTTTTCCTTGGCACCATCCATAAAAAAAATGCCTCAAATATAAGTAGGAAAATGAACTCGAAGAAAGAAAAGAAAAGAAACTTTAAGTGGGAAAATAACATTTAAGGAAAGTTAATTAACATCTAACTTAAATTGTCATTTAAGCCTTCCCACAACCTATCTATCTTGGGTCCCATTTGGCAGTGATCCCAAGAACGAGTCCTTTTGTAATCCAATGTTGGAAAATGTTCAAAAGCGATTGTTTTGCTAGAAAAGGGCTATCTTTTCTGAGAGGGAAGGTTAACTCTTGTCCATTTGGTGTTGAGTTGGATCCCTACGTATTTCCTTTCCTTGTTTAGAATTCCAGTAGCAGTGAACAAAAGCAATGAAAAAATTAGGAGGGATCCTTTACGGAAAAGGGAGGTCGATGGGCAGGTTTGCATCTGGTTAATTGGAAGGTGGTCTTGAAACTATTGAAACTCGGTGGTTTAGACACTGGAAACTTGAGATGTAGAAATGAGGCTTTGTTAAGTGGTTATGACAAGTTGAAATAGTCTACTCACAACCCCAACTTAAATATCAATAGACCAAAGTCTCCTATCATCACAAAGACTATACCCCAGAACGTGAGCGATTTTTCTGAGGGATTAGAGTTCCCTGACTCCACAAGTCCATATCATTCATTTCTTCAAAAGTGTAGGTTCCATCTAGCCAAGGGAAGAGAAACCAAAGAACCGGCATTGCGTTGTGATTGAAAGAAGAAAAAAAAATGACAAAATAAGAATCGAGAAGAAGAGTTCTCAGTTTAAACTTTTTCCTTGAACTGAATTTTGCGTCTATTACCCAGGGAAAACTTGCTTGGAATTATCAGCGAGTTTTTCCCCTTCCTTTCCTTCCCTCCTTTTTTTCTTTCTTTTCTAACTGTGAATGCTTAGACTAGCTCACTGGTACCTGATTGATTTTATAGGGTAATAACATGATCCTAAATATTTGGCATTGTGAAACTTGTGCAAGTTATTTAATAACTTCGCTAAATGTCACCAAGGTTCAGCCCACAACCACAATCACTTCTGTCTGGATTCATAACTTTGGCCCTAGTTCAGGTTCAAGGGAAACAACTACGCGTACTGCTTTTTTTGGTGTCTAGTATCTGAGTTTGTACGTTGATGTTGTGCGTTTGGTCAATAATTTTATTCTAAAAATTGTGGTTATTTTCTTTCAGGTATTCTTTAACAATGGCATATTCAGAAGAGGGCAGGAAGTTACACCTGAGGGTTTTTATTACAGAAATGTAAGCTTCTCATTGCATGAACAAATTATTGCTGTGGTTCGCGTTTTTTAGCGTTGGAGTTTCTTACAACCAATTTACCCCCTTTCTTTTTGGGGTTTGGATATGGCCTTCATTGACACACTGTCACGTACAGCTGATATGTATACGTGGGAACAGATTGATTATGGTGGAGTTTCACCCACCTATGATCATACATTCAGTTTGAACAAATTCCTTTGCCTTGATCGTTTCTTATTCATGATGATGGAATTTGAATTGTATGCATATCCTCGGTTTCTTAGTAAAAAAAATTGTATGCATATCCTTGGTTTCTTACTAAAAAATTGTATGCATATCCTTGGTTTCTTACTAAAAAATTGTATGCATATGAAAAAAAAAAAAAAAACTCTCGCATTTCTAGAAACTACTAAGGTTTTTCACTGTTCTCTTACGTGAAAATGGGGCCTTCAGTAATGTGGAGCATTATTTACTATATTGTGTAAGATATAACTCAAACTCTTACTACCTGGGCACACTATTTTCTTATTAATTCTGAGTTTCTTGTTGGCATACAGGTACGGATAGGTTTAGGGACTGACATAATAATTTCAATATAAGGTTAGAGCTTCCTTCCTTGATTTCTCATATGGCATGTGATCACTCTTTAAATAGAACGTCTTCCCTTTTTTCAAACCCAGAATTAGTTCAATATTGGTAAATTTTATTCATGATTAATTTGGGATATATATGGATTACCGAACTTAGTGACCAATGTTCCCTCGTTGTTTAACCTTAATGTTATCAGTTTCACTTGTAATGAATCTAATTAATGTTGAAATTTTTGGTTTGATTGCAGGAACAGAGCTTCCAGGTGCAGCTGTGATACTAACGTGTGGAGTATTTATTCAATTTTCGAACTGGAAGGTTTTCATTGTAATCTGTGTATTCAAGAATTTTTAGAATCGTAGATAAATATCTGTAGACATTCATTATGGGGGCATAATAAGAGAAAAGTGGCCTTTTCTTGGGAAGGGAGGTAAAGATCAATATGGGATTGGTTGAATATGCATTTTCTTTTCATAGAAATGAAATTACTTGAAAGATGTGCAAAGAAACAGCTTTTTTGGAGCAACTGTTCCCCTTTATTTCATTAGGCCCAATTTCAACTTTTTGCACAAAAGGTGCCCCTCAAATTAAGTAGGAAGGAGAAGAAACGTGCCGGATTCATTGGCTTTTTTCTTCTTTTTCTTAGATTAACTCTGGCCGCAAAGCAGCAGAAAATTGCCATGATTATAGGTGTAGAAACTACCCTGCACACTGGCCTCAGTTAAGAAGCAAGTGGCCTCTCCCTTCCAAGTTTACTTAAAGTAGAGCTCCTTAATTTAGAAGAGTAGCACAGCAGTAAAACTTCGTATGAGCTATCATGCTCATTTGAGAACATCACCTCTGGATATGAGTACATGGTTTTGATGTTCAAATAAAACCCCTTGTGATGTCTAGAAGGTGTCACTTCAACATTCTTTTTCCCGGAAGTAGATTTGTGTTTGAAAGGGTTTTAAGCTTAGAAATGGGAGAGATGATGATCCCCACTCAACACTATCATGTGTTCATGTGTCAACTACCCCAAAGATTATTCTGTATTAACAATTGTTTTTTGCAGGCTGAATACTTGAGATTATGTTGTTCTGGATGGTGGTTTCCTTTTGAGTTAAGTAAAAGCAGGGTGGAGGGTTCAAAACTCTAACCTAATTATGCTCAGGTTTGGCGTTTCCCTAGTAGACACGTTTACTAATGATTATACATCACGGACTAAAATAGATAATATCGGCTAACGGTATGACACATTATACACCATTTCGGATAAGCATAGTATTCTCACCAGACAGGGTTAGCTTGAATGGCGCATAGGTCTTCATTTCCGGCACACATAGTAGCACTAATTTGAATTAGTTACTTTCCAACCCACCTGAAGTCTTTTGCGAGTGATAGAGATAGAGTGAAGAGTTAGAGTTAGAGAGAGAGAAGGAGATGTCAATTGTCAAGAGCGCAATCAAACATGGCGGGTCCCCTTTTCCATATAGATCGAGATCGATGCCTGCACGTTTATTGCTTTACTCTCTCTTCTTTGCCTGCCGCGGCGCTTCCCGCTCCACTCCAATGCCAACCACGAAGTCTTTGATCATTCAGCTCATTCAATTCAGCTACACAAACTCTCCTTAGAGCTAACTTCTCCTGTAGTCCAGATATTGAATGGACTGAATGGCGGACATGGCATGGCCCTTCATTCCACTTCTCAGCTTCTCTGTTCTTCACCACCACTCGACCATGGCGGACATTTTCCAGCTCTGCTAATGAAATCCTATCCCTGAAGATCTACAGAACCCAAAACTGGTTAGTAAGATTGTTCTCTCTTTCACTATAAAAACCCACTTTTCCTTTCCTGTTTTTCATTGTTCTTTGATCTGAAATCATATTGTCTGTGGCATTCTTCTGTCTGGGTATCTCTGGTTTGTTTTTGTCCTTTCTGGGTCTTCTTTGTATCAGACCGGTAGCTTGAGGAAATTTGAGAAGGATATGGAGCGGCAAAATGGAGGGCGGAGATGGGCCAATTTGAAGCAACGGCTAGGATTGAAGGGGATGGGGTGCTGTGGAGGTTCATGGAGTCCGACGTCGTCGACTTTGACGATGATTGAAGGCTTAAGCTTAAGCCGCCATGGAAGTAGCCGCAGCCATAGAGAAGATGGGGCTCGGAGCTCTGCATCTTCCGGTGTAAACTTGGCGATGGCTCTTGCGGCGGAAAGAAATTTGAGGACCGACGAAGGAGGCCCCACTGGCGCCGGTGATGTGAAATCACTGATGAGATTATTTGAAGAAATGGACGGTGGGGATTGGAAGACAAAAAGAAAGGAGAGTGAGAATACCGGTGATTGGATGTGCTGCGTTTGCATGGAGAGGAGTAAAGGTGCTGCCTTTATTCCCTGTGGACACACCTTCTGTAGGGTATGTTCTAGGGAATTATGGCTCAACAGAGGCACGTGTCCTATTTGCAACCGTTCGATCATTGAGATTCTTGATATTTTTTAAATTTGCAACATTTCCGTAAATTATTCTCTCTATGTGATTTTTGTGTTCTTTATGGGGGTTTCCCCCCTTTGTTCCCTTCTGAAATGCTTGGTCGGTAAGGAACTAATCATAGTAGAGGAGGAGAATAGTCAGAGGTGGAATGTTGGTTTGTGCACCTGGATTGACTTCGTGCCATTTCGAACTAAGAGGGGCAAAAAGAGCTGAATTACTCTCACGATAATTGTGCACGAGTGTGATGCTAAGGTAGAGCTATGTAAGTTATAGTTAAGATTGTCGACGATTTTCTCTATTTATCGCAGAAGTTATTATGATTGCTCCATTGCTTCCGACGACTTATAATTTGCTAATCTCGAAAGAGATGGAGGTGTCACTTATAATGGTAACTTCATTTGCCTAATTGGAAGGTTATGAAAAGAAGGGCTATGAGTGCAACATAAGATGGAAGAAGTAACAAGGAAACTGTAAGTTTCACAAAAGATGATCTAAGATCCTCTTCCTACCGAAGATAAAAAGATACATCACTTTGGAGGTAGAATTAAGGAATAACATTGCTAGTCATGATCATGGATGTTCACTCTAGCAACAACTTAAGAATTTGCCGAGCAATGAATAAAAGAACTCATTCGTCGTACAACAAATGTGACAATGAAGTCATTCGACAAGATATCGCATGTGTTTAGGCGGATTGAAGTCATTGTCAAACTCTCTCTATGCATCTCCTTCATCACAATCCTCAATCTTCTAAAATTACTTCGAAGAACTATCTCATATTTTAGTCAAGGGTTGAAAGGAAAATCTCCAAAAAGTATTGGACAATTTTGAGACAAAAAAGTAGAGAGATGATGTTTGGAAAGTGTAAATGGGTGTGTAAAGGTTTGTAGGGACTTAGCCATGCGTGATGAGAAGAACCGCACCTAGAGGCCCTTTGCTGCCCACACCATGCAAGACTCAACTGCATGGGGTATGTATATTCATAATAATGGTACCACCGGGAGTGCTAATAATGGGATGCTTTTTTCATTAGAAAATGCCTAAAATGGGAACTGAAGAGAGAGATCTAATGTTAATTGCATGTAAATATACAAATACAAAGGAGTGAGGGGGTAGTAATCACTTGAACCAAATGTGAGGCCTAAAGAATAGAATGACAAGTAATTAGAGACCACTGAAAGGTGAAAACAGCTTCGGAATGCCTTCTTCCACTAATGAACATCCTCCACACCAGATACAGCCTTACAAGACAAATTACCTTTCGGAACATCAAAATGATGACGGCAAATACTTAAACCCTGAAATGTCAAATAGTTCGATGAACCTCTGATCTGAAACTCTTGCCTTCGCAGCCGCAAACCTCTGGTACTCATCGAAGACTGACGATAGGCACCATTTCTGCAACTTTCTGAAGCATCCCACCACGCAACCAGTTCGGTGCTGGCGAGTGACAAATAAGTTGAAGCTATTAGAAACTCGATAGGAACCGTTTGTGTATATGTTAAATCACCGCTCAACTCAAAAATATAAGATAATGGGTTACAGAATATCAATACTTTACTTTGATACTATATCAAAATCACTACTGAACTAAAAAGTTAAAACGGATGGATTATGGTACATTCAGTCAATAAGGTACATACCTTCCCTCGCTTGCAATGGATTAAAACTGGGCGATTCCTCACATCTGCATGGTGAAGAGATAATGCTATAACATTTAAAGCGAACTACTACTAATCCAGCCTCATTGGAGATTTAAAATGGAAGTATGGTAGGTACCGAGAATAACTTTAAGTGCCTCTCGAATTGTAACGTCTGGAATGTTCACAAAAGGCTCCTGCATTTAATTTCAACAACAAAATGATCAGCTCTCTTTTACAGTAGTATCATAAATGGAGTCCTATTCCTACTATTACAGTGTTCTATGAGCTCCAGCTGTTAAAAAGTAGTGTCGGCATGACACTAAAACAAAGCAAGGAATGGAGGACGCACCCTCTTGACCTCTGAGTTCTCTAAAATGTTAGGATTTCTATGGGTTTTTTGCGAACAATAAGCATTCAGTTGACAATAGGTACATGTCAAGAAAACAAAGCAACTTCATTAACTTCTCAAAGGAACATGGAAGCCTTATAAGCAATGGAGAAGTTCAAAATGAAGCCTAACGCCCCCTTCCCTCACGCAACCGCCCCCCCGCCCCCCACATAGGTAAAAGTGAAGATATGTTGCAACAACCTAAGTCCACCGCCGGTAGATATTATCCACTTTCTTATCGTAGTTAGCCTCACGATTCTAAAACGCGTTTGTTAGGGAGAGGTTTCCACACCCTTATAAATGTTGATCTCACAATCCACCCACCTTGAGGGCCAAGGTTCTCGTTGGCACACCGCCCCATGTCTAACTTTTATACCATTTGTAATAGTCTAACCTCACCGTTTAGTATGTTACGTATCATTGTCACCCTTATAGTTTTAAAACAGTCTTCCACACCCTTTTAAAGAAGCCCAATGCAATGATAAATGATGATAATCAAACAACCAGCTCTCCTCTCTTTCTCTGGTTTTATTCTCGCTTTTATGTCTGTGTGTGTTTCTATATATTGATCACATAATTGCTTAATCTGAGTTAAACAAGACCAGGAAGTTTTCAAAAGTGTAAGTTGAGAAGATATGCATTTCAGAAACATCTGGGATAGCATTAATGTCGGATCAAATTTCATACCAAAGAGTACATTTGATCAGCGCTCATATCCAAATTCCTCATACACTCGAGAATCATGTTTACATATGCATCAACCTTGTCTGAACCCGCCTAGACAAATTTACACAAGCTAAATTTTGTTAGCTAAATCCCAAGAACAGTTTTCATAAACTCGTAGAAGCAGTCAAAAGCCACCAATTAAACTAAGATGTAAAGTACTCTTCAGAGACTCAGCATCAAATTTCCCAAAACCAAAACATATGTTATTATTAGAAACAACTGAAAGCAAAGAGTGGTTCTAATCTGTCTAGTAAATTCATACGCATACAGAGCATAATAACAAAAATCACTTTAAATGAAGCTTCTCCTGAGAAATGGAACTGAAATTTGACATAAATGGTCAAATATCAAATTCATTGAAGCATCACAAAACAGCAAATTAGAACAGAAAAGGCATCGCTCTCATTAAGATATCAAATTATAGACAAACAGACAAAAATTATATCTCTCAGTAATGATTATTTCGATGAAGTAAAACTTTAAAAAGGGAAAAAAAAAACTTGAAAAATAGGAACAAGAGAACGAACCTTAGAGCCTTCAATTCCGAATTGAAACAATCGGATCCCATTGGACTTGAGAAAATCCACGCTGACCTCAGGATATGGCTCGGGGCAAAGACATCTGCAATATCCGATCAAAAACAATCAGTTCAAATTCAATCGTCGATTATCACTCAAAACAGAAAACAAAACGAAGGGAACAAGATCAAGATCAGGCGAACAGAACAGAACAACGAAAGCAACAAACAACAAATCAGTAGGAAAAGTCATACATAATCGAACGAAGGCCTAAGGTCTGCAAGAAGGAGAAGTTGGAAGAGTCGGGGAAACCGGAGCGGAAAATGCCATTGTCAACGACGGCGAAGTTCAGCGGAGGAACGACGAGGTCATCTCCGGCATTCTCGCAGTCATCTCCATTGACGACAGCAGGCGTGGAAAGAGTTGGATGGAGATGGTCAGAGTCATCATCGGCGTCTAGGGAACTGCGTATTTGGTCCGAGTGTTGGGACTGGCGGTCGAGTGTCATGACGGTGTGAAAGAAGATGCAGTGTAGTGGAAAAATGGAGATCGGCTTGGGAGGAAAAATATTCAGACGGCGGAAGAACTTGGATTCGTTCCGGTTCCAACTCCGATTCCGTTCTCGATGAACACTTTTCCCTCGCTTAATTCGGAAACTATTTCGACAGTTAAAGAAAAAAGAGCGAATCGGTGGACCAAGCAAGTTGGTTATATCGGGAATTGCCACTTCTCTTAACCCCTCCTTTTATACTACAAAACCCCTCTTTTTGTCTTTTTAATTATTTTAAAAAATAATAATATATTCGACATTTTTTTATTAATAAATTTATCACCCACAAAATTAAATTTATTTTTTACGTTTATAAATAAAATAATTTAAAAAAAAACATATAAACCTAAATTAAATGATATCGGCATTTCATTCAAAATAAATGGTATCTAAGACAATTACGTGTCGTGTCGTGTATATATATATATATCATTTTTTTCAAAGGAACCCATCAATATTTTGACGAAAAACAATAATTCAAATATAGACGTACCAATTATTATTCAAATTAAAAATATCTCGTCAGATCAACCATCGTTTTATTGAGTTTCGATTTTTTCAACTCTCTACAGATGTCAATGGATTTAGTGGGATAAGAAGCTACAAGGGTCGATAATATTTCACCGATGCTTTCTAATCATCAACAGAACACCATTGACATTCAATCCCGACCTGAGAAAAGTTCGTCGCTACGAATTCGAAAACCCGAAAAAAGTTATTATTTTTATTTTTAAAGAAAGGGGGAAATGGACATTCTTAGGAATATGCTTCGGCAAAAAAGTGGGGTACGTTGTTTAATAATGAGACTGCGAGGGCTTTGCGCCTCGTCCTTTGTTTTTCTTTAAATTATTTTTGCGCCAAAAATATTAAATAATTTCTCTGATTTTAATTTGTCAGTTGGGGTTTAATTTATATGGAAAAGATGGGATTATTTTATATTTTATATTTTAATTATTGCATGCACTCACTTTGTTTTTGTTTTTTTTTTCCTTTTTTGGAAAAAAAATAATTTAAAAAGAATCCAATGTTTTGATTTGTGGAAAAAAGAATCTGTTTGGCCTGAATTTCTATTAAATTTTTAAAATTATAATGGTGGGTGGTTGGGGCAAATTAGGTATATTTTTAGTAAATTGAATTATTCAAAATCTATTTTTAAGATGGGTTTACAAATCAAATTTTGAGTTCATGTCAAATTAAAATAATATATATTATTATTAATTTAAAGGGATTTTTTTTTAATTTTTTAATTAAAAGTTTGTTGGTTTATTTAATAAATAATGAGTAGCATAAAAAAGAAAAGAGTTTCCAAATATATATATTGAGAGTAGACATAAATACAATTTATGGAAAATAACTTAAAATACTATATGCTTAAAAGGGTTTAATTTTATGCTTTTATTAGATTTAATTAATAATAAGCAAACTATTTTTTTTTTAATAATACGAAAAATAAAAAATAATGAGAAATCAATAGTTGAGGGTACGATGGGTACATAATAAATAATGAAGGGCAAAATAGGAAGGTAAAGTAAAGATTCTCCCTTCGTAGCCTTGTAGCTTTTTATAATATAATTTTTGTAATGTTGAAAAAATATTTCAAATAAAATAAAAATATGGAAACTTATACTTGATAGATTTAAATCCAATTTATTATTCTATTTTGTCTTTACATGATATTATGAATATTCATTGTGTGAGTTACCATGGCTGATGACACTTCGTAACTTGGGTTGGTGTCGAGACATATGAGCCATGTTAATTGGGAACCAAGATGACATGATGAGATGTGACATTGCATTGAGAAACTTTGGTTTCAAGTAGAGGCAAGGTCGAGCCATATGACTGGATTAATATAGAGGCAAGTTGATTGTGTCGCAGATGATTGAACATGCACGAGTAGGCGGCATGCATGGTTGAATAAGCTTGTATTCTACACAAGTTGTGTTGGGTGGACGAAGACAAACCTCGAAAGTGGGGCAAAAAATATTATGGGGCTTGGGTTTTTCTCAAGGTTGACTATGAGCGTGTCAAGATCACGACGCTGCACGGTTGAAAATGTACGACTGTGACCGTTGGTATTAGAGCCACAATTATCAAGTATTGAACAAAAAATTTGTAAGCCTCTAAAGTGTAGTGAGTTATATGTATTTTGTTCGTGGGCTCTAAACAATAAGTCAAACTTCGATTAAGGGGTGGTCTCATACATGAAATTTTTTTAAATATTTGTTTAATAAAATTAGAAAGTAAAATAAGATTTAATCAAATATTAATTTAATTAATAGCAAACCATTACAGCTGTGGAATTTTGAATTATAAACCTAAATTTTGCATGGTTTTTCTTTTTTTGCTGTGGGTGAAAGGTAGAACATAATAGGACGGTGTCCCCTTAGCTAGGGGCTTATGGCTATAGTTGTAGACATTTTGACATTATCTATGGTAGGGCTTGTAGCACAACATGTCAGTTGTAGACATTTTGACATTATCTATGGTGGGCTTGTAGCACAACATGTCGCCTTCAAGTTTATCGTGTTGTAATCAAAGGTGGTACCACAAAGTACATTCAAGCATCATCTATGAAATATAATATGTATTAATTATCCAAAATTAGGCCATTCATGATAATATTTAAACAAATTATAAGATGCTTATATATAATTGGCTTTAGAGATTATTTATTTATTTATTTATTTATTTATTTAAGATTCTATCTCTTTATTGTTATAATTTGGCTCAAACAAGATTGGAAGGAGAAACAATAGTCAATGTTGTTAGTTGGAAAAGAAAAGTGATGGTCAAAATTGTTGGTTTGAAAAGTAATGGCTAAACATCAATTTCAATAAAACTAATTTCAAATAATTAATTTTAAAGATTTATTGAAAGTACAAATAATAAATAAATTAGACGTTTAGAAATATATGGAATAATATGGACTAAAGATCAAAAACATATTAAACCCAAAATAAAACTGAAAAAAAAATTCAAGTTACATAGACAAATGATAAATAGTCTTAAAAGTTCAAGAACCAAACTTATAATAATACCTTGCAAAATCATGCACATCGAGGGTTTTTTTTTTTTTTTAATGAACCGAAGGAAAAATACAGATAAATAACAAATCCATAGCACAAAAAAGTCAACATATTGAAAGTATAGAGATTGGGGCAGTTATCGAAGCTGGGGGAATGTCAAAATTTGTAGCTCCATGATTGATATTATAATTACCATCGGTGTAGGATTCCATGTGAAATGGTATTTGCTTGCAAGTCTAGTACNAAAAAAGAGCTTGCGCCACGCTCAAAGTTCGCCCTGCCTTTGGAGAGAATATTTTAAGAACGTTACTGTTCACGGATTTTTACCCGTTCAATGTCAAATGACATTAGAGGATAAAATTATGTCTCGTATCCTGTTTAAAGCTTCACTTTCCAGTATTGTTAAAAAAAAAAAAAAAAAAAAAAAAAAAAAAAAAAAAAAAAAAGGGGCAGCCGGTAAGTTTGAAGTTCGAAATTAGAATTGGATTATTTTTGAGGTAACAAGCTTTAGTATCTCACAAAGTCAGTGGGATTCCGATAAACAAATGGATAATGTTCTTGAGAATTGTCAACAACTAAGAAGTTGGTGAAGTATAAGCAATCAAAAAGGAGTTGCTTTATTAAGATATTTTGTTGAAGAAAGTTCAAAATCAGCTCTTGTTCAATTTAATTACCTTCCTTCACTTTGTCAGAATCAAATTCAAGGTTTGATCAAAGCTGCTTTTCATGACTCTCTAACCATAAATATATTGTAGTCAAATTACAAATTTATGTCTATTTAGTACATATAAAAATGACGATGATGTAATAATAAAACAAAGGTCAAAAACTTGAATGATGGAAAAGTAAACATACCTCAACCAGCTCTCTACTCGATTTGAATTTATGCATGATACTTTGGGTAACGTTGAACCCGAGGAAATAGATAAGAAAAGAACAAAAAAAATGTCCAATTAGATTTAAATACTAAGTTGCACAATATTAGAAAAACCCATGCCCTAATCCTAAGAAACCAAAGAAACCAAAGAAACCAATAAAAAAACATAGATCATTCACCTTATAAATGCATAATTATAATTCCACAAGGTAACTTCAACTTCAAGTTGAAATTCATTCAAAACCCTCAAGCAAGCAAGGGAGCTTGTGGCTAGCGCCACGGCTGCACATTTTTTTTTCTTTATTTTGCATTATCTCTCCCAAATTACAAATAGCATTTCGTATACTTTTACATCGAAATCGTGGCAAATAAAAAATTACCATCAACAAGCTTCTATGTAACGTTACATAGAAGCAGATGTCGTTCACACTTCCCAACAGAAACTGGTTATTGTTTAGGCTGAAACAAACTGCCCAACAGAAACTGTTGCATCAGAAATAACTTGTTACATTTAAATAAATAAAAGTGATATCCGCATCTATTGGGGAGGAGAACAAAGTATTTTTTACAAGGGTATGAAAACTTCTTCCTAGCAGAGGCATTTTAAAAACCTTGAGGGAAAGTCCAAAAGAAAAAGCTCAAAGAGGACAATATCTGCTAGCGGTGGGTTTGAGCCATTACAAATGGTATCATAGCGAGACACGGGCCAATGTGCCAGCGAGGAAGTTGAGCCCCGAAGGGGGGTGGACAAGAGGCAGTGTGCCAGCAAGGACGCTGGGCCTCAAAAGGAGGTGGATTGGGGGGTCCCATATTTATTGGAGAAAGGAACAAGTGTCAGCGATGATGCTGGCCCCAAAGGGGGTGGATTATGAGATCCCACATTGGTTGGAGAGGAAAACAAAATATTCTTTATAAAAGTTAGGAAATCTCTTCCTATCAGACGCATTTTAAAAACCTTGAGGGGAAGCTTGAAAAGGAAAGTTCAGAAAAGACAATATTCACTTAATTTGCCCACACTCGGACTATTACAAAAAAAACCAAAAAATCTGCATAGCTGAATATGTTTAATGGAATAAAAAAAGGTATACATCTAATGGGGAATGAAAGGATTAGCTCGTGCATATTTCCAGAAAAATGCTTGGCAAAGAGGTAGAAATAGGATTGATGACAGTTGTAAACTCATCATCTTCAGTAATACAGTGGGTTCAATTCAAAATGGGCCTCCCGGGAATAACAGTTAAACATATA